CTAATACAAACTCGCCGCTTTTTGTTTGGACGCTCACAACAGCAGTTGCAAGAATGACTCGATCCGATGCATTCGCATGCAAAACATGCGAAGTGGATGGAGACTCCTGCATGAGCGTGGGCTGAGAAGGAGGTGGCAACGCGAGATTTGTGTTTGGGGCATATATGTGTAGCAAAGTGTGATGTGAGGAATTGCACACTCTACATCTGTTCGATTTGCATTTTTTGACAGTGTGACCCTTTCTTAAGCAGTTAATGCATAAGGATGCTCTTTTAGCGAAATCGAATCGTTGCTGAACTGTTAGGGCTGCGAAGGAAGCGCAGTTTCCAATCTGATGTTTAGCTTAGTTGCAATACACTCATTGAACAGAGTCGTTCCTGGCAGCGACAAACGAAAAACTCCTATTTCCATTCTTCTTAGAGTTAGATTGGGTCTGCTGAACAGTTTTGGGTTTGGAAGTCTCTTCTGCTACCATGTGTTGGTATCGCCTGTTGAGGGCCTCCTCACATTCGCTCCAAATTGGAAGCGAAGTATAATCTAACTGTTCTTTCCATTTTCTTTTAGTTCCTGCATCGACCTTGCTCATTACCAGCTGTATTAAAATAGCATTAGTAATGCGTCTATCATCCCCAATAGACAGCAAGGAGTCATACAAGGCTGTGACCGTGTCGACGTTTTTTTCAAATTGAAAAGTGTTGATATGTTGTCAAAAAAAATAAGAAAATACTATCGTGTACCCGCTTCAGGCTAGCAAGGGCTTTGGGATAATTTTCCGCAGTGACCTGAAAGGCCCTAACTGTTCCTAAAGCGTCTCCAGCTAAACACGAAATTAAATGATTGAATTTTTAATATCGTGTAAAGTGTCATCTTTGTCAACGAAAGTTTCGAAAAGGCTTATAAAATTTTTAAATTCGGAGTGTTTTGCGCTAAAAGTTGGAAGAGCAACACTCGGTCGACGGCATTGAGGCGGGCGATTTGCTGGCGGAGCGGTTTTCTCGATATTATTTTGTTTTCACTTATTTAAAATCGAAAACAGCAATGACTTTGTCATTACGTCCCTCTCTTCCAACTCTTCGCGGTATACATCTTTTGTATCTTTCACTTCTATTTGGTTTTGCAAAAGTGAAGCATTTTCAATGTGCGTATTTAAAATCTTTAATCGACCCTTAAGCTCGACCGGATTTACTGATAATTTAGCTTCTTTTAAATGGCGATAAGTTCTGTAACAACTCAATAAATCACGTTAGATTGTCTTTTATAAATGTTCTTTATTTTCACTGTCCTTCCGCGGCGAGTGCCAAAATCAAACTAAACTAATTATGTTGAGAACAGTGATCCAAGGTCTAGGAAGAGAGAGAGAGCCTCGCTCTCCTACAACCGTCATCGCTGGCTTAGCTCCTTGGTGCCGGTTCCCACATCCCTTCCTTCCTCACCAGCTTCAGCTTCAATCCATCCTGGTTATGTTGGTCCTTCTCCTCAGGGTCTTGCTGCTTGGATTGGGTTACTGAATCCGAAACTTGACCTAGGCCAGGATTTTGAAGGGGTTCCAAGTTGGTATCATCAGGTGATTCCGTCTCTATGGGAATCTTTTTAAGATGACTAACATTTCTCATGAGCATTCTGCCTTGCCTTTTCTGTTTGTGAGTAACGTTTCTCCACATCAGTTAAGCTTCGACTGGCAAAAGCAATAATATTTGGTTCGAGATCATCTTTAAATTGTAGCAATACTGCACCCAAAGCTACAGGGCTAGCATCTGCCATCAATCTAGTCTTCTTTTTGTGGTCAAAGTATGAGAGGCTCGGGATCTTATATAATGCTGACTTTAGCTTTTGGAATCCATTTTCTTCAATTTGTCCCCAGTTGAATTTATGGTCCTTCTTTAACAACTCACGTAACGGTTCAGTTAGGTCAGCAAAGTCTGGAATGAATTTACCAACGTATGTGACCAATCCGAGGAAACTACGCGTTTCTTCCTTAGTCTTGGGAGCACGGAAAGAATTAATAGCTGTTATTTTCTCTGGATCTACTTCAATTCCTTTATCAGTCAACACATGTCCCAGAAACTTGATTCTGTTCGTCTTCCAAATGCACTTTTCATTGTTTAAGAGAACATTATTTTCTTTGAAAACATCACAAACCTTTTTAACAGCTTCATCATGCTCTTTTTCGTTGCTTCCAAAAATAATAATGTCGCCGATATATTTCATCACATTGTTGCACGATGCAAGGAGTTCTTCAAGTCGTCGCTGAAATATTTCAGGAGCCGCATTTATGCCAAACATCAGCCGTTTATATCTGAATAAACCTTGGGGTGTAATGAAAGTTGTGATCTGTCGATTTGATTCCTCTAGCTCCAATTGATGGTACGCGTCTTTGAGATCCAAACGTGAAAATAATTTAGCGTTTCTCAACTTAGTCATAAAAGACTCAAACGTAGGCAAAGGGTAATTTTCTCTAAGAATCGCTCGGTTGGCCTGCCTCATATCCAAACACAGTCGAATGTCCCCGTTTTCTTTAAAAGCAACAACTATCGGTGAGACCCACGGACTGGGACCATTTACTGGTTCAATTATATCCAGCTTGTGCGCTTCCTCCAACTTTGCATTGACCTTACCTTCCAACGCGACTGGAATACGTCTCATGGGCTGTTTCACCGGGTCAACATAAGGATCTATTGACAGTTTCACGCTAACATTTTTCCACTTAGGGAACGGTGTTACTAATTCAATGTGATTTACTGGTAAGCCCATCCGCAGAACATTCAATTTAGTTGCTGTTTCCCGTCCAAGTAGCGATTGTCGTCCTTTCTCAATTACAAAAAAGGATGCAATCAACTCCGAGCTTGACTTGACCGCTATTGGTGCCTCAAAAACACAAATGACATTTAAAATTGTGTCCGAAGCGTTTCCTTTAAATTGGTTGTGTGCATCTGTACGCACATTGAAAACAGTCGCCTTTCTCGCCTGGAGATTTAACCAATCGTGCTGAGAAATAATATTTAAACGGGATCCGGAATCGATTATCATGGCAACGTCTTCACCACCAATTCTACATTTAATCCATTCTTCATATTCCTCGTCACTGTTTATTTTAAAACAGTTTTCTCGATTAATTTCCTTTCCCTCTTGGTTGCCGTCTTTAACCCATCGTACGTTTCTTCTTTTGAAACTTTCCACGTTCTTTCCTTCATACGACGGTGGGTATGGACGTTTTAAAACAGTTCGGCATTTCCGGGCAAAATGGCCCAGTCGGGAACATCGATTACATTTAGTCTGTCGCGCTGGGCATGTAGGACTATCCTCCTTATGACCTGACCGCCCACATCTTCCACAATCATTTTGACTGGTTGGCCGCGATTTCCAATTGGAAATTTTATTAATTGTGTCTGAAAACGGCTTCGATAGCATCGACTGTGATTGCTTATTAATTTCTTCGTCGACCTGGCATGCTTCAATGATTTCGTATAAGGTATGTTCCTTCTCAAGAAGTTTCTTTTTTAGTTCCGGACTAGCCCACGTATCAATAATTTTGTCCTTCAAACATATTTCTTCCACCTCAGTTTTCGTAGAACCAAAACTACATTTTTGGATCTGCTGGCGAAGTCGTAAAATGAATTTCCCAAAAGCTTCGCCCTCTTCAGGAGATATTTTCCTGAAAAGGTGTCTCTCGAATGTCGAATTTTGTTTAGGTGAAAAGTATGTTGTTAGTTTTTCGACCAATATCGAAAATACGTCATTTTCCCCCTCCTCGTTGAACTCGACTATAGCACCCGGAAGTGCATATGCAACCGTCTGTAATTGCGTGCCACCCAAGTGTAGCAGCTTTGTCCTCCTCTTGGTAACCGATTGAACGTCTTCAACCTCCAGATACGCTGCGATGCATCTGAAAATCCGTGTATTACCGATAGATTGCAATTTCGATGGTTTGAAGATAGTGCAAATCTTCTTCGAATCGCTTCCACTGGGATTGAAGCTCAGAGGGAAGTGGATCGTCCCAGTTTAGACGGTGCATACACAACTTGAAGGCTCGAAGCCAGTTCTCCCATTCCCTTCGGAGCACGGACTTTTCCAGATTTTCGCAAAGAAAAGGTTTTATGATGCTCTCAGCCATTACGAATTAATTCTGAACCTGAAACAAATTTGTATACATATTTTTTTTTTTTTTTTAATTTTATTATTTTATATTAACAATGCTTCTGTCGAGCAATTTTCCTTCCAAACTTGGTCAACCTCTTGACTCATGCTACAATTTAGCTTTTTTTTTTATAGTTTTATACGGCATTCTGCCCCTGACCACTGTCAGATAATGCCTCATTTATTATTTAAATTTCAAATTTTCATCGGCACTCTGCCTCTGACCACTGTCAGATAATGTTTCAGTTATTATTTAAATTTCAATTTTTTTCAAATTTTCATCGGCACTCTGCCTCTGACCACTGCCAGATAATGTTTCAGTTATTATTTAATTTTCAATTTTTTTTTTTCGGTACTTTGCCTTTGACCTTTGTCAGAACTTGTTCTACATTTTCTTTTTTTTTAAAAAAAGCTCTTTGCTTTTATCTGATCACAACTTCTCATACTCTTAAATGCAATTACTCTTAAAGTTTCCTCTCTTATTATAATTTTTTTTTCTGGACATACCGTTTACTCGCACTCGAACGAATGACAACGACGAACGAGATGAATGAAAGAGAGATAAAAAAAAACTAACGGGTTCCTGCGAGATAAATTTGTTCAAAATCGAACTAAACTAATTATGTTGAGAACAGTGATCCAAGGTCTAGGAAGAGAGAGAGAGCCTCGCTCTCCTACAACCGTCATCGCTGGCTTAGCTCCTTGGTGCCGGTTCCCACAAGTTCGGTTAATACTTTTCATGCAAGCATCTTGTTGGTGTTTAAGCTCTTCGATATCCTTAGATGCCATTGCGTTTATTTGTATTTATTTTGTTGGTATCGAAGAGGTGTTTAATATTTATTTTTATTAAATTATTTATTTGTTAAATAATGTAATAAAAAATCAACGATCGCACACAGTGTAAGGGAGCTAAGTGCCGAGAGAATTACAGCGCGATCCCAGACCATTCACTGCAGGCCAAGTCCTAACGAAGCAACTGACGGGGTTGTTGGACACTGGAGCGAGAGTTAGTCTGCTTCGTAAAGGTGGCAGAGAGCTGGTTGAGGCATTGGATGTGCCCGTTCAGAAGTACTTATCAGCAGTCCGAACGGCGTCTGGAGAGGATCGGTCAATTATAGGACGGGTCAAGCTACCGGTGGAATACCGAGGACGGACAGAGCACATTCTCTTCTATTTATGTCCTAACCTGGAGCAGCCAGCTATTTTGGTGTGGATTTTTGGCAAGCATTCGGACTGGCCCCAGCAATTATAGGCCACATCGATCCCGAAGGATGGAGCACTACGCTGAGGTCGAGGATGACGATGAGGAAATAGCCGATCCCGAGTCCTGGACGCTTTCCGAAGCCGAGGAACAAGAGCTAGAGGAGATCAAGCAGCAGTTCTTGACTTTCGAGAGGGATGGCTTAGGTACCACCAGTCTGGAGAAGCACACTATTGAGCTGATGTTTTCAAGGATCGACCCTATCCGATGTCTCCCGCGAAGCAGAAGGTGGTCGAGGACGAGGTCGACAAGATGCTAGCGCTCGGAGTCATCGAGGAAATCAAAAGCCCCTGGAACAACCGCACCACCGTGGTGTCAAGGTCTGGTAAACACCGGTTCTGCTTAGACGCACGTAAGCTTAATGAGGTGACCATCAAAGATGCTTACCCGTTGCCCAGCATAGACGGCATCCTGTCCAGAATCGACCAAATGTACTACATTTCCAGAGTGGATTTGAAGTTCGCTTTTTGCCAGATTGAGTTGGACACGAGCAGCAAAGAATACAAAGGCTTTACGATTCCTGGTCGGCCTCTTTACCACGTGAGGCCTTTCGGACACTGTAACGCATCACAGAGGCTGGTGAGACTCATGGACCGAGTAATTCCAGCTAAGATCCGCTCGAATGTAGTTGTCTACTTGGATGACCTGCTAATACTAGCGCCAGACATGAGAACGCCCATGAAGTATCTTCGCCGAGTCGCTGAATGCCTGAAAGAAGCAGGGTTAACCATAGGTCTCAGCAAGTCAAAGTTTTGCTTCAAGTCTTTGACCTACCTCGGCTTCATAGTGGGTGGAGGACGTTTGCGGATGGATCCAGGGCGTGTAGCAGCTATTAGGCGGATGCCTGAGCCAAGGATCATGAAAGAAGTGAGAGCCTTTCTTGGAACCGCTGGTTGGTACCGTCGGTTTATAAAGAACTCCGCGACGTTGGCAGCTCCGCTCACGGAATCCTTGAAGAAGACGGGAAATAAGAAGTTTTCCTTGAGTCCAGAAGCACAGCTGGCAGTAGAGTCCTTGAAAATGGCCCTAACTACTGCGCCAGTTTTGGTATATGCGGACTTCAAGCGGCACTTTTTCATCCAGTGCGATGCATCCCAGATCGGAGTCGGTGCAGTGTTGTTCCAGCGGGATGAAGACGGCCAGGAACAACCCATAGAGTTCTTCTCGGCCAAGATGAATTGTCACCAAGTGCACTACACCGTCACCCAAAAAGAGTGCCTCGCAGCCCTGCTGGCCATTCGAAAGTTCCGGCCGTATGTGGCAGGAATGCCGTTTACGTGCATCACGGATCATGCCAGCTTGAAGTGGCTTATGTCCATAAAAGACCTTTCGGGTCGGCTGGCTCGGTGGTCATTGCAACTCCAGGGATATCACTTCAACATCGAACACAGGAAAGGAAGCGAGAACGTCGTGGCAGATATACTTTCGCGTTGTGTTGAAGAGCTAACACTGGACCAGTCAGAGTTACTCGGCTTCGAGACCACTGAGTTTGCTGGGGAAGAGTATACGGGGTTGTTACAAGAAGTGGAAAAAAACTTGGCCCACCTACCTGACTTGAGGATAGTGGACGGTCTCATCTTCAAGAGAGTCTCTTCGGCAAATCTGGATGACGAGGTGGAAGGCTTCGAATAGAAGTTGTGGATTCCTCAGAGTCTGACTCACAGCATAATTGATGCACATTCGGATCCAACGCCAGCTCATGTCGGAATGGGAAAAACTCTGGAAAACCTACGGCGGCAGTTTTACTGGCCTGGCATGGCACTGCAAGTCCGGGAGTCCATACGCAGGTGTGAAGTCTGTAAGGAGACGAAATCCCCGAATTTGCGGATGCAAGTTTGTATCGGTGAGAGAGTCCAGACTGAGCAGCCATTTCAGAAGCTGTACATCGATTTCCTGGGGAAATATCCTATGTCGATGAAGGGACAGGCCTACATCTTCATTGTGGTGGATCACTTCTCCAAATACACTTTTCTGAAAGCCATGCAAGAGGCATCGGCCTCAAATGTAGTGGAGTTCCTCATTCACGAGGTTTTCTACAAGTTTGGGGTTCCAGAAATGGTGCATTCGGACAACGGCCGCCAGTTTACGTCCAACATCTTCGAGGAGGCGATGGAAAGCTTTGGCATTAGGCACATCAAAACGCCAGTCCACTCTCCGCAAAGCAACGCAGCGGAAAGGGTAAACCAAAGCATGTTGGCGGCGATCCGAAACTATTTTGAAGAAGACCATCGAGAATGGGACGCGTATCTTCCGGAGATTGAGGTGGCCATCCGCAACGCGGTTCATTCAGCAACTGGAGAAGCTCCGTTCTTCGCCGTATTCGGACGACACATGTTTCTGAACGGAGCCAGCTACAAGTTGGCAAGGAAGTTGAAGTCGCTGTGTGATCACGAAATGACGGGGTTGGGAACGGCTGATAAACTCCAAGTGATGCATGACAAGGTGCAGAAGAACCTCGAAAATACATACGATCGGAGTCGGCTGCGGTACGACGAAAGGGCTCATACTTTCCTTGGGAAGCCAGGTCAGGAAGTGTATCGCCGCAATTTCGTCCCAGCGATTTTTTGTGCTTAAGTTGCTGCAAAAAGTCGTAGAACGGTCGGGAAAAAATTAGTTCATAAATTTAGATACTTTAAAGTGAGTAGTTATTTATTGGTCTTAAACTTATAAATAACAATGATTTTTTTAAATATTGAAACTGCCGGGGACCCTATCTAAAAGGCCCCGGAAATATAGAGGATTCGGGAAGGCAAAACACTTACCTGGCGGACCTAACCTGGTCGTGAAGACCACGTCGTCCACCAGCAGCAGCCGTGATCCGTGGCAGCAGCAGTGATCCGTAGCAACTGCAGCAGCGATCTGCAGCAGCGATCAGATCAGCAGCAGCAGCAGCATCCAGCGTCAGCAGCTCCAGCAACGGCCTCCGAGACGGCCACATACGGAGATTCACTCGGTGAGACCGTTCCGGGAACGAATACCCGCGCTGACCACGTGGTCATCTCTGGACCACCGACGCACTGTCTCCGGGCCCTCTGGCGCAGAGCCTGAGCTAGTCCTGGCCGCTAGCGGTCGCTTCTTCTGACTTCAGCTTCGACAATAACCAACGTTGAACTCTGCAATAAATTAGTTGTAGTTATTAATTTGTAAAATCATGCAGTCAAAAATTTTTTCAAAATACTCACTGCGAAATCTAATCTGGAATGAGAGGCATTAGTCCCGCACTCCAGCCGCACGTCCAACTACGTCTAAATTGTGCCGCGAAATTTAATGACGTATGGGATTTTTTTAGCGTACTTACCTTTTCAGTACGTCCCTTCTTTTCCCTTGGAGCTCCTCAGGATAAGTTGACCCGGTTGGCAAACGCCTTCAATATGGGGCCGTGTAATTCACATCCGTGGCGATATTTGCCAAACACTTGAAATTTTAAGCGTCCAAAAATGTCCCTTCCATTGTCGCTTTGACCACTTCTCATCTGAGCGACGGTCTGAGTTCGGCCTTAAGTATTGCTAATGAAAAGATTAGATTATGAGTAGGAATTAAATCTGAATGTATTCTATAATTAATCTTGCCCAAAATTAAATGTAAACAAGCTACCGAAATGGTTGCGTGATACGCATTTGGCAATACCTTTTTAATGACATACAGCACTTGTCTGTAGCTCAACTAGGAAAGTTTAGCAGTTTTTTTTAGCGATTTACTGCAAAACAAGATAGTTTTTCAAAAAGCCGTAGAACAAACTTTTTGTAACGACCTTATTAAAGAATTTCTCATAAACCAATCAAATTTCTTATTCAATTAGCGATACCTTTCAATTGGCGTATTACTCGTCACGACCATCGCAGCAGATTTTTTGGTGCGCATCGTCACTCCATGTACTGTCGTCCATAATGATTTATTTACTTTCCAATGAATGGATCTCATTTTTTTATTTATTTACTTTAATAATGTTACTAACATTCCTTAACTTCCCAAAGGCCGAATATTATTGTTGTCTTTTGTTTGAATTCATAATATTAATTAAAATAAATTGAAACGGTAGTACAATGAACTATGAAAACAATAAAACATATAAAAAATGTTTTTAAGTCGATAGTATCAATATTATCGATGGTTCAAACTATCACAATCGAAAATATCGAAGGTTTTTACAGCTTTACATTATTGGTAGATGAGGGTTTGGATTTTAATAACATAGTATTCCCAGTTGCGGCGAAATCAGCAGTGAAGTGGGTTGATTAGGTGCTTGTACATCATTGGAGGATGAAGGTTGGGAATTCAAAGACCTTGTATATGTCAACAGTGGGAATGGTATAATTAGGATGGGGTTAGGAAAATCGAAATTTAAGAGAGATGTTAACGGTGAGCGGGTAAGGAGATCTAGCAGTAATAACAGCAGTGTCCGACACGAAGATAAGACAGTAGCAGAGTGATATAATGTAAGCTTTATTAAAAAAACCGTTTAATAAAAGTTTGAGGTCTTGTTGAAACACACATTAATTTAGTGACTTTTTTGCGTCAAGCTAATAGTTTACGAAAAAATACAGAAAACGTTTGCCTTGAAACAGTCATTTTGAAATGAGCGCTCCATTATTGAACCGGCTTGGCATCACCAAACTTTTATCGATATTTTGCCAAACTATCGCTTAATTGCTCATCTCTAAGGTTTTCAAGTAGTTAACGCTTCCTGCTTGATAACATTTTATATTTCTCTGACATAAAATCAGTGTGCACTTGACTAAACATCATATTTTATTTTATTAAATGAACCTTATGGTTTTTGAAATTTTATTTTCGTTTTTTGACTATGGTTTTTATTATTGTTTTTAATTTTGTTCTACATAATTAATATTCTGTAGCTTAGTTTTTGGTACATTTTCGTTAAAAAATGTTACATTTTTGGTATTACTTTCTGTTTATTATGCCTGCTTGCAGATCTGGTGAATGGTGAGGGAATAGAGGACGGGATTGAAGAAAGAACGGACAATGGAAAAGAAACAGCGCGATTATTGCAAAAAAAAAAAACAAAAATAACTGTTTTTACCGTTATTTTCAAAGAAAAAGGTATTTTTCGCAAACTTAGATTTATTTTTTCGTAATCAGAACCCCAAAATACATGGATCCTGAAATTTTTAAAATGATCGGCCGTTGACGATTTTTGGAAGTACAGCCGAAATCTTCACCATGAGAATCAATCAATATCTTCCATTTTTGACTTTTGTAATAAGTTTTTTTTTTCAAATTAAATTTATTCATACTCTTAACAGATGTTTCGATGTACAAACGTAGCCTCGTAAAGTCTGAAGACAATGCGCAGACCCAGTGGATACTTTTCCGACCCTTTAAGTGTATATATTCTTGCATCAGCATCACTTGGAGAGTCGATCTATCCCTGTCCGTCTGTCCGTTTCTAAGCAAACTAAACTATCAGTTTTAAAGCTATCTGCATGAAACTTTCCCAAAATTTGTCTTTCTATTGCAGGTAGTATATAAGTCGGAACGAGCTGGATCGGACGACTATAGTATATAGCTACCGTAGGAATAATCGGAAGAATAAATAAAAAAAATTATAACTTTGCTGTTTTTCATTTTTTTTTTAGTTCTTTGACATATAGTAATGGTTAAATATTTCAGAATTACTGTTTAAATTTGATCAAAATCGGAGGACTATTTCATATAGCTCCCATAGGAACAATCGGAAAAAAATACAATCGACTATAACATATAGCTTTCAACAACAGATTTTTATTTATTTTTTTAGTTGTCCGAAATAGCAATACAAATTTTTTTTTAAAATTACGGTTTGAGTTTGATTAAAACTTGACGACTATATTTTATGCTGCTATGGGAATAATCGGAATATTAAATTTAATAAATTAAACAAAAATTATAGTTTCTCTAACTTTCAATTTTTTGTAATACTATTGGACATAGCAACGGTTTAAGATTTCAGATTTACGCATTTAATATTGTTCAATATATATTTTGCCAGCAATTTTTAAATTTGGGCAAAAAAAGCAATACTATGTAGTTACCAAAAAGTATTTGCTATAAATTACAGTTAATGACTTCGCGGCAAGAGTGGAAAGATGGAAATTGGTACTCAATGGTTGTTTTTATTTTTTGGTTTTGTTCAGAAAAGAAAGAACCATAAAAATAAATGGGTTGGCGTGCATGTTTCCTTAACCTTAATGAGAGAAGCAATTTAGCAAAATCGTGGGGACCCGGTTGAAAGTTCTATCAATTCTTTATATTTCGGCATTTACATATTTTTTGATAGTACACTAATATTGAGATGTTAAAAAAAAAAAATATTTTTGTGTTGATCTAGAATAGTTTTTTAGTTTTAATAATAGTACCAAACATGCTATTTTTGTCATTGAACCAACGAATTTTTTAATAAAATAATGAAATCAGTAAGTTTTACATTATTCATTTCAAAAAACAGTATATTTGGATAGTTTATATTATGATACCGGAAATTCACTGTTGTTATTTTATGAAAATTTCCACCAAAAGAGCTGTCTCCTAATATAAGCCGTGTATCCCATCCAAAAGATTCTACAATATTTTCAGTTTTTGAGAACTCCCATTGCGCAAGATGCCTTGTTACTTCCGAAAGTCGTGCTGTCAGTACAATAGGTACAAGCCTGCTCAATTCGGGTGTAATGCAAGTAAAAGGTGTTACATTTTTACATCTTGTGATTTCTAAACTGAAAAGCTTGTAATAACTTGACATCTTTCGAGTGACTAACAAAAAATCCTCGGCATTATGAAATCCATACTTGTGGGAAGAGCGTAGAGTTTGTTTGTCATTAATGTTTCCAATCAGGTAGTCTATAGCCAAATGAAGAACCTTGTAAGGAAATAAATTAAGTAGCATATAAATAATTTTTTTGGTTGCTTACTTCAATAAATATTTCCTTATTATCGATGCATTTCAATATGTCCATTTCCGGTTTTTTTGTTGTAATACAGTTAACTTAAATTAATTGCAGAGCTGACTGCGCCTTAGAGCTGATAAGGCATCAATGGCCATTTAACTATCGATATGGCAACGTACATACGTCTTTTCTGACAGGCACGCAACAGCAACAGCAGTTGAGTCGCAGCAGGGTATTTTTCTTCCATTATAGCCCAGTCCCACGGAGCCCATCCAAGCGAAATGGTTGAGAACCCTCATGCATGCTGGACTGGTGTTCCCACGGAGCCACCATCCGTAAAATGTCACAGTTATGGCCCAGTCCCACAGGGCACCATCTCTTTGAAAAAAGATTTGCCGTGCCAAAAATTTCCCGGTTACTCCTTGACGATGGAATTTAGACGGCGGCCATCTTTGATTTTGTGAACCAGAGGCGTAGTCGATAGAGAAGGGGAGAGGTTATCTCAGATATAAGCCATTATTTGAATGATCAAATAACCATTTAACAACTAATTCACATCGTAAAAATAAAATAAAAGCCGAAAAAGTACTGCTAATAGAGTTTGATAGAGGTAAAGAACCTCCTCAAAAAATTCTGCATACGCCACTGTGACTGTTGATGGATGGTGGACGGTGGAAGGATGATGGCGGCTCTGTGGGAAAACCAATCCACCATCCATCAAAAACCCCAGTCGCTTGGATGGGCTCTGTGGGACTGTGCTTAATGTGCCTGATTCCATTGGCTCATTTGTGGACTTTTTATAGCCTGGTTCCATTGGCTCATTAGTCGAATTTTTTAATGTGCCTGATTCCATTGACGCATTAAGCTGATTGTCAATGGTAGCTGATCTGTAATTGTTTTCTTATTTATTGTCGAATATCCAAACGAAATTAACTAAAAATTTTTAAAATGAGTAATTCATAGGATGCTCAGCAGGATATCCATAATGTGGCATTGTACAACTTGGACGACTTGGAAGAGGGGCAGTAGTGTTATTCGATGGGTTTGCCAAGAAGACCACTAAATTTCCTTAAAAAAAATATTTTGTATGTTGAAGATGCGATAGACACGACTTTTTTACCTCGTTAGGCTTGGCTGTCTGGTTACCATAATTTCTCCCTAAACACAAAACTTCTATAAAAAAAGGCAACAAATATTTTGGTGGATTTTTTTGGTTTGGTCTTTGGACAGCGGTACGCAGGCTACAAAAGTAAAAATACTAAATTTGTGCTTAAGAAATAATTTCTTGACATTTTATTGATTTTTTGAGTTAAAAGTGATGGCGCAGTAAAACAACACCGCGGTCAGAGAGGTTTGGGATGTGTTAGCCCACACTTTGAACAGAACTGGCAAGCTATTATGTAAATGCACAATTAAATACAAAAACAATAATAATTTCCTCATCATTAAGCACTAATGTTCAAGACATAAGCATTAGTTTCTATTGGTTTGAATAGCCAAAAATATATTTCGACATTTAAATATTCTGTTTCAGTTTAGTCAGTGTGAACGCGAACCGATAGCACATAAATTACCTAGCAGAACCCTCAGGATGTAATTGAGCGAAAGTTGCATTTTTATTTTGGAAACTCTTTTTGTAGCCTGAATACTGGGTATAAGGAGAGAGGGGTCAAAGATAAATATTTTTGTTAACGTCTCCAGACGATATGTAATAGCCTGACTCCATTGCCGCATTAGTGGACTTTTTAAATGTGCCTGATTCCATTGGCATTTTGCATTTAGCTAATGCTTAAAGGTCATGAAAAAAAATCATGATTATGAGCGAGTTTATCTTTATCTTTAATGCTCAGGTTTTTCGGGATCGGATTCTTTTTAAGCTGCGGATCCTAGCAGTCTTGGGAGTTTGCTGATCCGCGGGAGCGTTCTGCTGCTCGCTTGCTGATGGCTGCGGGGTGATACGCTTTGGCTGCCCACCACCAGCTGCGGTTTTGCGCTTAGGGGACTCCGATTATAGGCTGCGGCTATGGAACTGCAAGTCCAGCGCAGAGAGCTGCTAATCTGCTCCGCGGAAACTGTTTCTTAAAGGCCGCCTTTAGTTTGGCACATGAACGATTTAATCTCGTTCGCAAATTCGACACAGGCATCACTACAAATTCGCAGATTGGGCCCCTTAGAAAGGTCTTCACTTGTTCGCCCTGTAAAGCCGGGGCAAAAACTGCACTCTTAGAACTTTGGAGAGAGAAAGAGAGAGCCGCAGTTGACGGGAGCGGCATTTGAAGAGAGCGGGAGATCAGTAGAGCGGGAGTGTAATGCAGTAAGCGCATCCATGTCCAACACCAAAAACAATACAACAGCACGGTCGGACCAAGCAAAAAATAAAAAACTGCAAGAATCACAAGAACACAGAAAAGAAAACACAAAAATGTAAATAAACTGTTAATATAGATCACTACACTCGCAAAGAGAACGGAGATATTAAAGTTCATATAGTAAAGTGTGTTGTGTTTGTTATTATAGAGTATAAAGGACTCGCTGTGCATTCCGTGCTCAATTTGCAAAGGAGACCACCACAGAGCAAAACGTTTGCGCCTGCCTTACATACATACATATAAAAACCGGCTGTTGTGGTGGTGGGCGAAGAACTTTTAATCGCATTTATTTTAAATGTGTTAAATTTAAATGCTTTTACACAAGAAAAAAGAACAGGTGGTAGTGTACAAAAAGAAAGCTTCGCAACAATACTGGACAGCGTGTCGGTCTGTGTGTCTTGTATGAGTCTCCTACTATCGGGTCGTCCAAGTATCCAATTGTCAGATTCTCAGTTTTCATAGGTCTGGTCAGGGCAAGTCAATTTTTATCTGAAACAATTCTTGCTCTGAAACGGGTGCCTGTGTCAGTGATAGATGTACATACATTTATTTTGACGTTCTTGAGGCGGTAAGTGCGCTCTCCACAAAATGTACTGAAACTTGCGATGCGGGGGGTCAATCAATTCGATACATTTTGATTATGTCCGCGGTGATGACGTAGCGATAAGATCTGAGCCTTAGAAGAAGCGTATGCAAGTCAGGTTGAATTATGGGTCCTACTAGGAGGATGTCGTTCAGAGACTTACGGGAGCTGGTAGGGCAAGTGGCGTCGAAAACTACCCAAAATTGTGTTAACGTGCTGTTTAATTTAATAAATTAATAATAATAAAAGGATGGAAGAATATATTTTTGCAAGTTACTTTCCGCTCTTCGCTGGAATAAATGCATCGCGCAGGAATTTCAGTTAGCTTCAGCACGGCGCAAAAAGAAAAGTGAACTACTTGCAAATGTCGTCTTCACATTCCTAGTTCATTGGTCGTGTCTCAACAACGTTCAATATCCTGCATGCGTTGATTGATTAACTAGACCCTCCCACAACATTTAGCTCAAACAAAAGTTGAAGGTCAACTTAAAATACACATTTTATTTTTAAAGACCTTTTTCGGTAGGGCATATATTTAGGAGATATTGACCAAATAGGTTGCTTTTTAAATGTAATTTTAAACGAGCATAATTAAGCCGATTTGGCCACGTCGCCTAGATAAGGATGAGCAAACTTGTTAAACGTGTATCGATACATTATCGAGTTCGTTAATATTATCGATACAATATCGGTTTCGTGAATTCAGCATTTTAAGAGGAGTTCCTGATTTTGGGTTTGTAAAATATTACATTTTTTTAAAACAGTTTAAATTTTATTCAAAATATGCGTGGAATGACACCAAATTAGCTGGGATCCGATGCTCCGTTCAAAAGTTTTTTTTTTATATTTAAAAAATACAATAGTTTTCTACATCGTTTCTCAATTTCAATACATTTTTGTTTTTGTTTTGTTATTTGTTTTAGAGTTATTTAACAATTATTTTTTGTGTTGGGAAGGTCATTACAAAAAAGTTTGTTCTTTTTTTGGAGAAAATCGTCAAAACTGCTAAACTTTGCTAGTTGAGCTACAGACAAATGCTGTATGTCATTAAAAAGGTATTGCCATATGCTTATCACGTTGCCTTAACTTAATTGCTCTAAATAAAAAAGTTAAAAAATAATTCTTTTTTTTTACGATTTTGTTTAATTTTTCAAGTAAATAGTTCTTGAGATTCCTCAACTTTTGGTATTTAAATAGGTTTTCTGCGTGAATGCTTTCGAAAGTTATTAAACAACAAAAACGGCAACTTTTCTTAGTTTAAACCAGCTAACGCCGCCTGTGTATGAAATTTCGCTGAAATGTTCTCATTTTCCCGACAGTAAGGCGGGGAAAATGTAAGAAAACAATAAGCACTTCTGCTATTGCAAAAATTAAAAATATTAATAATTTCATGGGAGCTATATGATATTGATCAAATAAAAAATGTAATTCTGAAGTAATGAACCGTGACTATTTCTCGAAGAACTAAAAAATAACATTTTTTTCGATTGCTCCTATGTGAGCTATATGCTATAGTCGTCCGATCCGTCTCGTTCTAACTTATACACTACCTGCAACAGAAAGACTTTTGGGAAAGTTTCATGCAGATAGCTTTAAAACTTAGAGACTAGTTTGCGTAGAAACGGACGGACGGCTAGATCGACTCTCCTAGTGATGCTGATCAAAAATATATTTTTTTTATATGGTCGGAAAAGTCTGCTTCACTGCGTTGCAAACTTCTCAGTGGCATTATAAATGCAAGGGTAAAAAAAAATTAAATTAACAGAAAGTTTTAGTTTTATAGATATCATTTTAGAGGTCTATAAAACAAAAATATCGTTAAAATTCTTCACACAGAAGACGCAGTTTCAAAATATATAATATAGTCGACCGATCAAGTCCGCTCAGATTTATTACTATCTTCAATGGAATGAAGACTTTTCAGAAAGATACATCCAGATAGCTTTAAAAATGACAGACTTGTTTGTGTAGACACGGACATGGCTAGGTCGACTTCCCTAGTAATGCTGATCAAGAAATGTATACTTTATAGGGTTGAAAATGTTTTCTTCAGTGCGTTGAAAACTTTTGATTGAAATAATATTACTGTCTGCAAGGCCGTAAAAACACTGATTGTTTCTATAGCAGTTATGCGGTACAGACGTCCGATTTCTAATCTTGATCGTATATATACAAAGATAAGTCTAATCAGACAAGCAAAGCTATGTAAACCCGCCTAGTCATTTTGATCAAGAATATGTTTTTGATGGGGTCGAAAAGCAAGAAGACCTTCCCTGCATAACAAACTTCATACCAATTTAGTATACACTCATAAAATGTTCCAAATCGGCACGCTGCGATTGGCAAAAATTCAAAAACCTGGCTGCATTGGCCGATGTCATCTAGACATCGATATCAGAAATTTTGAATGCTTTAAGGAGACCCTTCTGTCTGACATTATTTGGCCGGATCTGCTAAACATCCACTCAGATTCCGTCGAGGATGCTGGTATGCATAAATAGCGTTTGGCTACTTCCACCAGGCTTTGGGTATTCCACTCGATGTATCAATGGTTGCAAAAATTTTTCTCTTAAAATATAACTTTTATGGTGACCCGCGGCACAGTTGCCACGGTACTATCTCTCTACAATAATGTACAAGGGCTAGTAACAGCAATAAATAGCTTGCTTAAATCGTCAGTTGACCTGTTTGTTACCAGGCTTACACGCCGGCATTCCTACCTAAAAACATAAAGAATAGGCGTTTTAAAAAATATAAGAGGACTGGATCATCTGTCGGCCACTAGAGCTTCTTAGTTGCCAAGTCGGATTATGTTCAGCATAATTCTGAATGTTATCAGATTTAAGAATTCATTTAAAGAAAATCATAAACAATTCTACTTATTTGTGAACTCTAAACTTAGGTATTGTTGTTGGTTTTAGTGATCTTGTATATTTGTACACATAAATCGAAGAAAAACACTCGAGGTCATAGTTGGTTGTTAATCCTTATAACCACCCTTATCCTTACTCTGCCACACTAGCAATGCTTTTTTATGCCGATAATTAATGAAAAAATAGCATTTGGTAGCCTAAGGTTAATAAAACATTATTATTCAGTTGGTCCTCAACAAATTCTCAGTTGTGTTCTAGAGAACTACGCAAAAGCTCTGCCAAAACCATTGACCAAAATATTTAATCTATCACTTGAACAAAATTATTTACCATCAATTTAAAAGGATTTCAGTTGTTTCAGCTGATATTATCTTCTCAGTTAGAACATCAATGCTACTCATTTATGTCCCCATCTCAGCATGGTTTAATTAAGCGTCCGTCCGCAACAACAAACCTTCTGAATTTACGTCCTATAGAAGAAATGTATTCAAACAAAAATATCAAGCTGATGTCGTCTTAACGGATTTCAAAAAAGCTTTTGACTCAGTTAACCACCTTCTGCTGTTAAAAAAGTCATCTCCAATCGGAACTATGGTCATAGACCAGTCAGCACACGCGCAAGCCCAAATACTACGATGGAAAGGGAACTAGGGAGAGAGGGAGTAAGGCTATTAGGCTATTCAATTTATATAGTTAATTCCCGATAGTTAATAAATCATTAATGGACTTTATCTATTAAATCTGACAAACAAAAATATAAATAGCGTAGTATGTGCAGATTTCTCTTGTGATGTAAAATTTGCGATCCTATTTTTTTATGAATTAATTTAAAGTGTTTTTTTTTTGTTCTGAAGAATCTCCTTTTGCTGAGAATTTATAATAAATTTAACAACATTATTATAATACAAAATTAATTAATTTTAATCGTGGACAATGAGAGCGCCTCTTAATCACCGAAGTTTCCTTTGGTTTGAACTATCTTAAAAGGAAATTGATATTTTCACATTGGAAATAAAAAAACACAGCCCTTGGCATGTCATTGCATCATGACACGTCGGTTGTTTCTAGGCGCGCATAATTGTACTCCTTTGGCGTCCGTGTGTTACTCCCTTAACTGTTTTTACAATACGGATTGCCAAAAAAATTATTATTTATTTATTAAATTTGGAGTATTAACTCCATACTACTTTTTACATAATTTAAAATTGAATATAAATAACAATAGGAAAAAGTCGTAGACACCATTACCGGCTAACGCGCACTTGCACGGATTGCGTAATAGCAGTCTGCACGGAGGACGAGTTCTGTTACCAGTACATGCCGTCGCCAATAAGGGAACTGAAAACTGAGGTAGACACCGTTACCGGCTAGCGCACAGTTTCACAGTTTGCGTAGGAGTGCGTGTACACGAAGAGCGAGTCCCGTTACCGGTACACGCCCCCGCGTATAACGGAAACGAGGTTTCGTCAGCGACGGCGCTGCACGGAGAAGGTCTTTTCAAAAAAGATATTCGAGATGACCACATACGTCAGCAGCAACGATCAGGTGGAGCGCGAAATGAGAGAGGAGCGAGTTACCCTCTCTACCCTATTCGTAGAGATGGAGAGTCTGCGACGAACTCGAAGAGGCACGATCCAACTGGACACAATCGGGAACTACCGTTATAAACAGACAAGAGAAGACAGAATCGCGAAGTGGCGATTCTGCTCGGCCGAGTCAGTCGAGTGTGAACATCGTTACTGAACAGACGATACAAAAATAAATGAAAACAAGAATAAATTATAAAAGTGTATTTATTGAATAACTAACCCTAGGAGATATCTACACCAATATTGTTATCAACGTATTGGTAACTGGCGCAGCCGTACTCTTACCTATTATTCCATATTAAGCCGGACACAACATTATAAAATGTATGTATGCATGTATGTATTTGATTTATTAATTCCGAGTGAAAACACACAGCATAATGGTGAAATTTAATAAAATAAATGGAAGGAAGAACATACATGTATGTATGTGTGTATATATCTGTGAAGCGGAGTAAATGATTTGCTTATTGTAATTCCGTTATTCTGTGTTTTTGTACGAATATGTTGGAACAATGCGTGAAGCACACACAGATAACGGGATCGTTCGATTCAGTACGGGCAGTCGTCGAAACATTTATTTTTTTTTTTTTGCCTGAGTACAGTTGTGTGTATACGTATGTATACAACAAAAATCAATGCATAGAGACGCGCAAAACAACAATATGTGCTCAAACCGATCGAACGTGTCGTCAAAGATGTTTGAGACAGTTGCAATTAGTTCTGTGTTTCAGTGCGACTCACAGACTAAGAGCAACAATATGTGCTCAAACCGATCGAACGTGTCGTCAAAGGTGTTTGAGACAGTTGCAGTTAGTTCTGTGTTTCAGTGCGACTCACAGA